GCTTCTCCCTTTACAAGTAGTTGCTTGTAAGGAGTAGAGAACATCATCCCATGTCCAGATGTGGAGGCTGGGGAGTGGCTGGGCCAATTTAGCTAATGATGGTAGCAACATCACAGCACTGGGCCTACCTCTGAGCTTCAGCAAAACGACAAGACCTCACACACTGGCCCATCAGAGTTGCTCATGTATAGTCAGATGTGAAAGTCTGTTTAATCCATAAATGGTAAGAGTCACATATAGTTCCTACATTTTGTGTAAAGGGAGGGGAGTGCTTAAGGCACTCTTGCTGGGCTTAGTGATTATTTCTGGTCCCGAGTCTCTGAGCTGGCCTCAAGACTACTGGTAAGAAACACTTCACTCAGCTTTCAAGCTAGAATCTAAGCTGATTCAGGAAGACCAGGCACAGGTACTTTTTGGAGACATTTTATTGCATGGATAGTGGGACGGGGAGCTAGCAGCAGGTGTCAATGTAAACCTAATTGGAAGATGTATTTTGGCGAGGGTTGTTTGATGCCAAGAGCTAAGACGGCCTACAAATCTTATCTTCTACAACCAGTTCTTCAAAACTTGGGATGTCAAAGGGGAAGGCTATAATAATAGTATGTCAAAGAGGGCTGTTGACGCAGCTGTGCAAGTCAATGGCTGCTTTAATCTCCTTGACAACCAGTGATCTTTTAAGAGGAAGACTGTGGGGGGAGAGGGGGCATCGGCAATATATGCAACCTTAACACTTGTACCCCCATAATTCTCTAAAATAAAAAAAGAGGAAGAGTGTGATAACCCCCCACAAACAAAATGCAAATCTGAGATACCACACAGGGTGGCATATATCTTGACAAGCACTCCCTTTCCTGTTATCGGTGCTCTCCTAAGCTTGCCCTTGGCAGACATAAAGGGCTGGGGCTGCTGCGGCTCAGCTGCGCCCCGCCCCCACATACAGCTTCCTAAGCCTGCGGCCTGTGGTCGCTCCAGTCGGGCTGTGTGTTCCTTCCTGCTGCTTTCTGTGATCACTTCCCGTCCTTATCATGCCTTTCCTCTCCCTACCTTCGTCCTCGTGCCTCGTGTTTCTTAAGGCACCGAGCTCTGCCTCTGATCCTATCTGTGTGTACTCTGTACCTGACACACGCCCATGCAGCCCAAGGAGTCACTTCGGTTAGGGATCCTTTCCAGGCTGTCGCCTCTCTATTCAGCAGTAACAAGCTGAAACCTTCCGTCACCTGGACTAACTTTAAAAAGGGAAGTATGTGCACATCCCACCAGGAATGGCTGGAAAATCTGTTCCTTCAAACTGCACAATTAAGAGCTTCACAAGGAGGCCGAGTCAGGCGGATTGCTCGAGGTCAGGAGTTCGAAGCCAGCCTGAGCAAGAGCGAGACCCCATCTCTACTATAAATAGAAAGAAATTAATTGGCCAACTAATATATATAGAAAAAAATCAGCTGGGCATGGTGGCGCATGCCTGTAGTCCCAGCTACTCCGGAGGCTGAGGCAGTAGGATTGCTTGAGCCCAGGAGTCTGAGGTTGCTGTGAGCTAGGCTGACGCCTCGGCACTCATTCTAGCCTGGGCAACAAAGCAAGACTCTGTCTCAAAAAAAAAAAAAAAGCTGCACAGGGAAAGAAGGCACCGTTTTTAATCACTTCCTCCCGTTGTATGTAGAGATGTCCTAGAGGGAGTCCATTAGTGCTCCTGAAAGTGAGAACTGGATTACTTGCCACCAGCCAGCCCAAGAGGCAGGGGCTAAAATAACCTTAGAGCATGAGAACAACTGCTTAAAACCTTCAAGGGGCAATCAAAGAAACTAAAGACAAAATTGGTTTGTGAAAACTAGTAAGGATGTCCTTGATTTTTATATTTCAAAGCATCCAAAATTTTAATCTTCCTGGCCACAGTGGGTAACTATTGAAGCTAGAATTGGTACACAAGGCATTTTTCACACTGGTCTACCTTTACAAATGTTTCTATGATCAAAAAATAAAATTAAATTGCCTCTAGTTGTTCTACGATCCAAGCTAAGAATAAGCTCCATCATACAGAAGTTCTATCAGCCAGAACTAGAAACATGACTCTCTACCTTCTTTTTCCTTTCAGTCAAGGGGAAACTTTGGAAGCTCACATTCCCCCTTTGCTAAGGCACAGCAGGGCCTGCTGCCTCGCTGCCAGGGAAGACCACAGCTAGCAATCTGTGGCAGCAACCCAGCGTCAACTAGTCTTCATCCTGTCAGTCCCAGCTGCTAGTCCCAGCTTGCAGAAAAATACAGCCTACCAGGATGGGGGCTGCTAGAAGGCACCGGGGCTCACCAGCCCTCCATCATCACGACAGACATGAAGGGAACCAACCCACGGGCTTTTGGGGAAACCCTTAGTTCCAAATGCGAAGAGCTGGATCTGAAGATACTGGAATCTCATTGTCCCTCTGTGGTTTGCTGATGTCCACATCAGACATAGCGCCTGGACTCACACCAGGCAGCCACCACATGCCAACTAAGCACATGAGCACACAGCTTCCAGTCAGTGCTTCCAACTCAAAGTCAAATCCACAATCCTGAAACTCTTCAAGCAAACTACGAGTCTTCAGGGAGGAGGCCAAGGATGGGAAACAAGGAAATGAAGTAGAGAGAACAGTAATTAAATGTAGAAGGATATAGGCTTTGGTAGGCTATACATGGTATTTGATCTCAAGTACGTAAGCCTGTTTTATAAGGGTGGTTCGACTGTCCCAAAACAATATGCTGTTTGTAACTTTGCCTCATGAACTTAAATTAGGAGAAAAGGTCTGATAGTTTTCTACAGCAGGGTGATACTTGGATTGGATTCTGCCATTAGCAGTTAGTATCAGAGGCCGGGGATTATATTACAATTTCAGCTTGTGCTGCAAAAGCTTGTCCAGCCTGCCTCATTTTCTACAGGTGTTAAAGGAGCTGCATTTAAACATGTGAGGATCACACCCCTCACTCTCTTTGTAAGGTTGCTTTGTGTCTTACCAAAGGCCCTGGCTGTGCTTTTCTGGTGCAATGACAGTCAAGCTCCCCTTTTACCTCAAGGGACTTCACGCTGATGTTACCATTTACTTTATTTAGAAGATCGCACAAGTTAAGTTTTGAGCTGTCTCTGAGCTGTCAAGATCCAGAGAATTTAGGCACTTAGCTTAGGCAGAACTCAGAAACAATGGTTTACAGAATACTTCAATTAACAACAGAAAAAGTTTCCTGATGTCTCCCCAGTGTTTTTGGCCTTGGGCTGAGGAGGAACTTCAGAGCTTGGTGATTGGGACAATGAATTTCACATCCCATTTTGCCAGTGAGGGTACTGTGTGATTCTGCTGTCAGGAAAGTCATGGACAGAACTAAGGTTAGAACCCAAGTCTTACCTCTTAAGACTAAGGCAGTATAAAAACATCTTCCTTTCAACATCACCAACTCACCTTCTCTCCTTCACATTACAAGCCTGCTTCTACAAACTCGCCTCATAAGGAAAAGATGAAAGGACTAACCCTAGAAGCACTCAACTCTTAATGACCTCACCACCATCAGCTCTTCCTTCCTCTGGCACATTATTCCTGAATCCATTTTCCCTCACCCCAGGTTCATCACTTCTTGACACCAAAGCAAAGAAGGAGTTGTTCCTTTGTCCCATGAAATTTCATTCTGAATAAGCAAAGACTTGGCAGGACACTCATCACTAGAGAAAAGTATGCTTAAAAAACAAAGTATGCTTTATTCAAAGCACTGAGAAAAGAATCTTCACTTGAAAAAGGAAAAATGAACTTATACTTCATTATCTGAAGTCCAGCATCAGTAAGATTTTAAGTGGCATCCATGTGTTTCGTCACTCATTCTTTGTATTTTGTAAAAGTTGTGTCTATAAATATACCAATATATGAATACAACATGCCCAAGAATGGCATGCATGGGTCTCAAGTAGGCCTTCCCAGATAAGGAGCACGTGGATTGTTAACCTTTCCTGGTTCTATCTTGTTTCACTTTCATTAATGAGAAACTTGAGAGAAAAAAGATATTAACAGAGCCAGATTCCCGTGGCCTCCTTTTTTACACTCATTTAGATAAAGTGAAATGGGAGAATGTTTAAGATTAAAGACTCCATGTTACTCTGGAATAAGGGACAGCGTTCTAAAGGATTGCTTTACTGAAATGGAAAAAAAAAAAGGTCACTGACCTATGTTTCTGGGTCAATCCTAAAAAACCTCAACTATCTGGTAGGTTTTAAAAGACCAATTTTTTCCTAATAACCAAGTGTTTCTGGTTCTCAGGCCAAACAACTTGGACCTCATATTGAACATGCTGGGCTTTTTTTAAAAGAAGCAACCATTTATCCACAAGGGTAAGGCTCCTTAAAGTTAAAACAAAACAAACCCACCAATAAATGTTTAATTACATCCAACTCTGAAAGGTAAGTTGTTTCCATCAGAAAAAAAGTTATGTTTATGCACAGGGTCCTAATTAAACAATTCACCCTTCCTCTATCCTTGGTCATACAGAGGTCCCATAAAATCTCCTAGTGATTGGAAACCTACAGGCTGTTGTTCTCCTTAGGAAGCATTACTTCTCAAACACTAGTACTTGATTTTTTATTTTTATTTTTTGACAGAGTCTCACTTTGTTGCCCAGGCTAGAGTGAGTGCCGTGGCATCAGCCTAGCTCACAGCAACCTCAATCTCCTGGGCTCAAGCAATACTACTGCCTCAGCCTCCCGAGTAGCTGGGACTACAGGCATGCGCCACCATGCCCGGCTAATTTTTTGTATATATATTTTTAGTTGGTCAATTAATTTCTTTCTATTTATAGTAGAGATGGGGTCTCGCTCTTGCTCAGGCTGGTTTCTCCTGACCTCAAGCAATCTGCCTGCCTCGGCCTCCCAGAGTGCTAGGATTACAGGCATGAGCCACTACGCCCGGCCTTAGTGCTTAAATTTTAATAGTTAAAAAATAATAATAATAATCTTTAAATACTAACTCCTAAAAAGTAAACAGTTTTTAAATAACTAAATTTTAAAAAAATCAAAGACTTTATTGGATAAATGTTACACAACATTCTTTAACATTTAAAACTCTGAGCATACTTAAGAGGAGAAACAATTTTTATCATTCAAGTCTACAAAACAAAATAGGCTTATGAAGATTTGAAATACAGACAAAAGGTAGCATGAAGCAAAGCTTAAATATTAAGCAACTAAAGCAATGAAAGTGAAATAGCAACATGGTAGGTCTAGCTTTTACATACCACCAAGTTTCATTTTTTAAAAAATGAAAATCTGGTTTGTAACAAAACACCTGTGAGAATTTGTCATGAGAAAAAAAAAATTTAGATACTTAAAACCTGATCTCTCCAAATTCATTTGCTTTATATTATTACTTCTTGGTCATTTCCATCACTCTACACAAATAAAGAATTCTAAAGCTCAATTAAAAATCTTGATTATACAATCCATGTGTAATTCCACCATGGCTTGGGCATTATCTAGTTCTTGAAGTGAGCCTGAAAGGTACTGCTGGTGTTTATGTATCTGAAAGAACAAGACAGACCCAAGCCAAAGCTCAAGGGCCTTATAGAGTAGGGCGCCCTTTGTACTACATGTCATCTTTAGAACTCCCTGCTGCTTCAGTTCCTGAGCTGACTTTTTCTGATTTGATAAAATATATAATGAATTCACAATATGGAACTTTCCAAAAGGACAATTTCACAATGCAACCAAAACTTTTAATTACTTGTAGTGTAATTAGAATTTGCATTAAGCTCATTAGATGCAAGACTGTCTGCCTTTTCTTTTTGAGTTGTAAAACAAATCAGTCAGGTATACTAAATATTAATATTCTAAAACTCTCACCCAGAACCTTTTGTTAATCCTGAGCATGGGGTTATTAGCAAATTCCAAGCCTATACAGTAACATTATGGAAAGTTTGAATACTTCAGCCAAGTACTCAGTTATCTGTTATGCTGCTTCAAATGGATTTTATGGTTTTTTATTTTTTGGCATTTTTTTCCTTTTTTTTGTAATAAGTAATCAATACGGATTATCTTTCTAGTTTAAAAAATAAATCAGTATTGCCACTAAAAAACTTCAGTTTTATTATTATTAAAAGTACGGCACCATCAAATATAAAATGCCTTAAAAAATGTAGTACTAACAGGTCCATCTGGTTTTCTCATGTTTTCTCCATTCATTAAAAAAGAAAAATTAAGGTTTTTCATATGTATTTACCAAAGACAAGAAAAAAAAATTACAATCTCTATTAATAAGAATTCATGCTCCATGCATGAAAAGTCTGATGCTGTCTTTATGGATCTGTTCCTGCCACTTGTCCCCCAGGGCCAAGTCCTACTTGACACCTGTGAGAATTTCTTGCACTTAGACAGAAGGGGAGGGGCTCTTTGTGGAAAAATGTCTACATCAAAATTTAGATATTGTCACCTTTTCTGAACTAGATAAAATCAGTAAGGATAGAGACAATAATAAAAGCCTTTCCAGCTCAGTAGAATTAATAACTAGCTCTTGGAGTGTATGTTTTCACTCCAAGATCAACACTAGCCTATCCGCTTTGAGTCAAAATTTGAAAGAATGCAGTTATGAAAATGTGCACAAAATGTTAAATACTAGTGGCAAATAAATACATCTTAATATGTTCTAACAAGCAAACATATATTCAAGATAATACAGCCCTGCTTTATTAAAGAAGATCCAAATTTTAGGGGGCGTGGGGTGGGGCACCTGCCATCCTTTCAGCAGGATGTTACATACTCTTTTCTGTTGTTTCTACCAGGACCCTGGACACACCATTGGCCTTGGCATACATGACTATTGCTGTTTCACAGAGAGTCTTTTTAGAAACACCTTTCCTCATATCTGAACTGATTAACATAAACCTTGGAGAAAAGCACAAAGTTTAAGTATGAAAAATAATTCAACATTTCAGCATCATCCCATACCTTTTAGGCATGTCCAAACTGTACTGATAAGAACTTCACATTCAAAAGAAGTTACCGTCAGTGATTCTTCATACAAAAAATTCAAGTGAGTTCTTGTTTGTGTATTTCACATCACTTTTCTCCTCATCTCATGCATAATTTATTGCAATAGTTTATTTTTTATAAAATACTCCCTAATACCTTTTCTTCGGTTTATTATAGCACAATGTGCAAGTGCCCCAGTATAGACTGTTGGTTTGAACCACTGCCTTAACATTTACTTCTTAGTGCAGCTTTAAAAATCTCCAATGTCATTCAGTCCTGATGCTCTGGTGTTCTCTGTGTCATGTGGTACAGGTCCATGAAACCAGCAGCCTGCTAATGTCTTTGTGCTGAAATATAGTAAAGAAAAGGAAGAAAATGTAGTTAAGCACAAGTAATTATATTAGAAAAATGAGGTCTTCATTGTTTAAATTAAGCCTTACATAGATTGTGGGATCACACCTGATTTTTTTCCTTTAAATCAGTTAAACTTGTCCAATGTTTTTTGTTTTTGTTTTTGTTGAGAAAACAACTTACAACCACTGTAAACCAGCAGAAGCACTCATGTTATTTCTGAAGTGTGTCAGGCCAGATTCCAACACAAGTAAGATGGCTGTTATCTTCATATAGTCAATCTGCACTTGAGTGTTTTTTTTAAAACTACTTGCTTATGAATATTTGCTTAATAACAGGGGAATTTTAACTCTGTTCTCTGTGTTGCCATTTCACAGGTAACAATACTAAACTCTGAGAGTTGGTTTAGCTGTAGACTGCTATGAAGTACCAACAGCTTTCCTCCAGCACAGGCTTGCCTACAGTCTTAGGAAGAAAATTTATATACGGAACCCAGCTATGTACAAATCAGCGGCAGATCACACTGTCTATATTTTTGCAAAGAGCAAAAAAAGAAGGGAGTGGAGGGTGCCTCCCAGAGGTAGACACAGCACATCAGAAGGCATCAAGAGCACCACTTTGATACAAGAAGACAACTTATGTACCCTGGTTAGACTGGCCACAGTGTCCCTGTTACACCAGCGAACCTCAGTATCAACAGAGGCGCGCTCCACCACACCTCCAGCAAAAAGCAAGACTCCAAGCATAACATTTGTAAAGTGCAAGGCTTATAAAAATTACTGCCAAGTAGCATGATCCGGAATGCCCAACATTACCAACCTCCCTCTGCTACCATGAAGTAGTAAGAATCCCACTGAAACCCTCTACAATCCACAGTTATGCCTCTCAAACCTCGGAGCCCAGGCACCAGTAAAAAAAATTCCAAAAGAGGTGATCCATGGAAAGAAAGATGAATTTTTTGGTCAAATGCAGTTTTGAACCAAAGATATGATATTTCAGTGGAATAACAACAGACAAAACAAACACAGAATGCAAAAAGGAAAAGAAAAACCCCCAATCCTTCCCAATATTTAAGATCCAAAAATGTCAAAGTAGGTATCTTTCCCATGATTTGACAGAACTCTTGACTTTATGTTGACTTCCCAGTATTGCCATGCTTTAACTTGCTTACTAGATCCAGGCCTATAAAATAAATTTTGCAGGGTATTCTATCATATTTCTTCTCAAGCAATGAAAATGACTTCTAGCCATAAATACTATACACATTAAGAAGAAAACTAAATGTAGCCCTTGCTTTTGAAGAAACAATTTAAAAATTTTTAAAGTTGACACTGAGCTAAGCAGTTTTTACTTTCTAAAACTAAGATACTGTACTAATATGATTATAATATTAACAGATTTAGACTCTCACAGAACTTTGGAAGAAAATGTTCCCATTTTATAAACTGAAAGAGAAAAAAAGGTAAATAGCCAATCCCATATACAATTCCACTTCCTTCTATTTAAGACTCTCTCAATATTTGTCTTCAACTTCAATGAGGCCTATTCAAGTTCAGTTGAAGACAAGGGCAAGAAAGCCAAGGATTCCAGATCTTACTATTCCTATGAGGAACACACACCAAAAAAACAAACAAACAAAAAAAAAACAACAAAAAACACTATTCCCTCAAGAGCTCACTGTAACATAGCTACCATCCCGATTCAGATAAGTGTCCAAATTCCGAGCCCCAACCTCTGATCCAAAATTGGCCATTCTGATCCAACTTGTAAATTATAGCTTATTTACGACTACACAGCTCTTCACTAGCTACACAAACACCAGAGGGTTAAATAACCTTAATTCAAGGAAGTAATAAAAGATCATAAGTTTAAAAGCAATGCACACACAGAAAAACCCCTAAACCTTTCCTAACATGTAAGGGCCCAAAATAAGCCTTTTAGGCATTACCTAAGAAGCCACTTAAATAAACAGATTACAACTACATTTCAGCATTATCTTTTACCACCCTCTGAAGTTTTGACCTGCCTTTGTAAATGACAATGGTTTGAGATTAATTCACTAAGAATATATATATATGTTCATATATATAATTCTTATATAGAGAGCAAGAAGTAATGACTATTTAAGAAGTTAAAGTAATGAATATAAAAGTGACAAAGAAAGACTGGGATAGTGAAAAGATAAGAAATCCAGTATTTGACTTTCCATGGAGACTCAGTTACTATTTGACATCTGTAACATAACACCCAACCTTCTACTACCCTAAGAAAAACTGCTCTCAATTCATGAAAGCTCACAAGAGGCTCTAATTTTTTGGCACGGCACGTAATATCAATTGAAAGTTATTTTCACCCATTAAAACTATCACCTATGTGAGACATACCTAGCTATCAAGGTCAATGAAAACTAAAGAAAAAGAACAAGAACTAATGAATTCTTTTAAGTCTAGCCTAATCTACTTCAGGAATGAGCAAGTGATGACATGATGCCCTCTTCACTTTGTGGCAGGGCTTAAAACAGACAGACCTGCCCGTTTCACTGTTAACTTCAATGCTCCCAGACTGAATCCACAGTGGTCTGTCAGACACTGTAAGGGAGCAGCAGGACTCGTCACTGTCTGATGTAATAGCTGCCATTTGTTGAGACCTATGGTAGAAAAAACCAAGTTAACAAAAATAGAGCAGTCATTTGAGTTCTTTTTAATCCATTTTACCAAAAAATAATTTAAAAATAAGACCAAAATTCAGCGGAATTTCCATAACGAATTTTTTCTGGATAACTTGCTGGCTTCGCAGAATGCAAAGCTTTGCTACCAAAGGAAAACAGACTTGACAGCTGTGTAGACACACCAGCCTTGGCCAGGAGAGGGCACTCCCCGGCCCAAGTCAAATAAGCAGCAAAATGCCACACCAAGATGCTGCCCTCCAAGCAAATTTACAAATGAAAGTGGAAATGCTAACTCACATTTAACGTTCTAGACAAAAAATTTTTACTAATCCAACACTGGCCTAGTGTTGTAGTAAATGATCTTCAGTGGTGCTGAACTTGTCATCCCTATCCATATTACCTCATTAATGAGCTCAATGACCCTGTTTAGCACAATGACCAAAAACTGCCTGAAACCCTTTCTCCTTTTACCCCAATGACCACCCTTGCATACTATTAAGGACCTAAACTTACTGTGTGAGGTAACAACTGGTTGAAATAATATTTATGACAAGATAAGCTTTCTCACTTAAGCTTTCAGAACAGAGACTTCAAATGCTAAGCATAATTTCAAGTGAAGGATGACTGTGTTAAGCCTTATTTTTAAACATACTTGTTTACTTCCCTAGTTTAAGTATAAATAAAGAACAATTCATCTATCATATCAGTGTAGTTAACTTTGGGATCATTAAGCTAGAAAACATTCAGTCCTTATAATAATTACTTATTAAAATGCTAAATCAGAAGTAATATCATATAATGAAAACTTTTAAAAAGGCTTTTCTGACGTTGAAAAGGAGAAATTTTATATATACCTAATTTAGAATTTTAACTCAGAGGAAAACAGTTGTTTAAAAATGAGATTTAGGGGGGAAAGGGCATTTATTGAAACCTTAAAATCTGTACCCCCATAATATGCCGAAATAAAAAAAAAAGAACACTACCCAGAATCAAAGTGAATCTGAAAAAAAAAGAGATTTAATAATGAGGTATTTACCTCTTTGTTCCCAGAAAAATTTAAATATACTATTAACTATAATCCAACAGTAATCACACAAACAAAAAGAATGTGAATGCACTAAAGAATTTATCTTTGAAACTCTCCCTCTCTAAAAGTTCTGTTAGGTTTCAACAATCATTCTGTCATTCTCCTTTTCAATTTTAGGCAGAGAGTCAAGATGCATCAAAAAATCATCTCATCTTTCCCTGTGCAATTCTTCGCCTGCAACCTCCTGAAATACCATGTAAAATATTAACATACCAGTCCACAGTGCCTTGCTTGTGGGTCTAATGTTTAAGATGAGCTACCCCTCAATGCTTTTAGGGTCTCAAGGTTTCTCTTTAGAAATTACCACTAGTACAGAATATCCATTAGGAATAGCCAGGGAGCCCCAGCTGTGATGCAGTAAATGGAGGGATATGCCCATGAAAAGGTGATTTCATTGGAAATGACTTATTTTCTCCATTAAGAGAAAGCTTAAGTGCAACAGTAACAACTATTCTGGGAGGTAGCAGAGATCTAAAGGGGAAATCACAACAGGGTAAGTAAACACTCATTCTCCCTTTTAGAGTGTATGAACAAAGTGGAGGTCCGGCTCTTAGAGCAAAGCCCAGAATTAAAATCTAAAAAATTAAGATCACATGCACGCAACATAAACTTTCTTAATACAGTAAAGTATGATGTAACATGAACAAGCAGGGAAAGCATAAACAGTACCTGGTTTTACAACAGGACATTCTGGTTTTCTAGCCCTCGTGCTCTTTTTCTAACCAGTTATTTTTCTAGAGTTTTAGACAAACTGCACGTAGTTATTCCAGCATACCAGGACTCACACCAAGATTTGCCACTCCCAGCCAGATTCCTTGGTAAAAACTAAACTGTGAGAGATCATGAGTTTGTGATCAATAGCATCTCAAAAATGAGCCATGGGGCCAGGCACAGTGGCCCACGCCTATAATCCTAGGACTCTGTAAGACCAAGGCAGGAGGACCCCTTGAGCTCAGAAGTTTGAGACCAGCAAGAGTGAGACTGTCTCTACTAAAAACAGAAAAATAAGGCAGGCATCAAGGCCCATGCCCATAGATATAGTCCCAGCTACTTGGAAGGCTGAGGCAGGAGAATTGCTTGAGCCCAGGAATTTGAGGTTGCAGTGAGTATAACGACGTCACTGCACTCTATCCAGGACAACAGGGTGACAGAGCAAGACTCTGTCTCAAAAAAAAAAAAAGAAAGAAAAGAAAAGAAAAGAAAAAAGAAAAAGAATGAGCCATGGATGAAAATGACTATCC